ACTTAAGGCATGCTTTATTTACATGCATTCAATCTCCAGTGGGAATTTATATACTGTGCACTGGATAATTCTCTAAGTGAACAACAGTCCGGCATCAAGAAGAGTTTCATACAGAATACAAATAGAAAGCATTAGACGACTACCTCCCAGGGACAGCGCGCTCCTCGGGCTTACGTTGGGGATGAGGATTGGTCAATCTGTTCGCCCTCAGGGGCTGTCTGGAATTATAGATCAGGGACCTTATTGTCATACCCCAGCTGCTGCACAAAGCCACTAGAAGAAAGGAGATTTACGAGTATTTCAGCAGCACTGAACCAGGGATACAGAAGCTATACAACTGGGAGTACAGTGGCTCTAAATCTGTAGGCATTATGCAAAAAGAAAATGCAGAATTCGGCATCAAGGGAGCTCTCCCAGAGCAATAGGACATCTTTGTAAATTCTCTAAAGAATAAATTTAACAGTTATTAAAGAACAACACCCTGTTATTGCAGTCACTGAACTTTACATCACAAGGAAAGATGCAAGGGATTTTCAGAAAGACATCTGTCATTTAACAGTGACAGTGACCTCAGCACTGACAAGCAACTCAGATCCCCAGCGATGGAAACAAATTAACCCCTTGATACACGGTGGATGAGAACTCCAGCGCTAGGGCTGCCACTCACTGTAACAGAGCATGTTGGGGGAGATTTGGCTTCCAGATATGCCAGGCAGAGTAGAGCATATTTTCAAAATAATAATTGCTGTACTTAAAGAAAACCCATGAAATTACTTAACGTTATTTAAATATAATGGATAGTTTTCAAAAGATGCAAAGGAATTTCAATGGCAGAGATAACTCCTCACTGACTTAGAGTATTTAAGGGCCAGGCACAGAAGGAGGGAGGCTGCATCCTTCATGCACACCCATTTCACAAGGCAATCATGTCTTACTAAGAGCACATTTGGATTCAGAACTGGAATTCTCTAAAGATCATGCACAATCATTTCACTGCTAACAACTAGCAGTTAGTAACTGTTAACAACACTGGCTTGCAGCATGACTTGACCTCCTACAGAGTTCTAAGACAACCAATAGAGGAAACGAAAAAAGTCTGTTCGTATGTTCTAGACACTCAGCAGAGCTTTGCAGGGGAAGGATAGGCTACAGTGATTCCCCATCTGTGATACCCTCAAAGTGGAACTGTATAAGAAGATCTAAAGAGTAATGCTTCAATGGAGCACGCTTGAGTCTTTCACTCCTCTTTCCACCACGTTGTCCATTTCAACAATTTTTTGGCACCACACAAGTTCTCAACAATCACGACTTACCTTTATAGCTCTGGGTTAATAGAAAACCATACAAACACTAAAGTTTTTTGGAATACACATTTCAGGGTCATGTGGAAAATGCACATGGTAAAAATAAATGAAGACAGCAAGTTTCCATGATAGAAAAAGCATATTTGAAGTGAAGACTCAAGTGTATGGACCTACAGGGGACCACAAATGCGACAAGGTTATTTATTCCTTATTCTCCCACGGCACTCAGCATCCTTCAACTCTGAAAATAAAACAGAAAGCCACACTTCTACACAAAGGAAGAACTTTTCAGATCGTAAAGATTCATGGGATGGCAAGTGGTCTTGGGGTCTTGTTGAGAAGCCTTTTTCTTTAATCTTTTTGCTTCAGCAGATTTTGATGCTCCAGTTCACCCTCTACAGGTTTATTCCTTTTCCTGTGGACTTAGAAGAATCAAAGTACGTGACAAGAAAAGCTAAGATTTGTAAAATAAGATCAGAAGCTCTTTTGTTTCTGATGTTAGACTTCAGTACTTATACATTTTATTTAGAAATACTTACACATTGACTAAGTATATTTATAACCAACCAAATCTGTCCAGAGACAGCCAAGTCAAGCTGCAGGACAAAGTATAGTTACAGGTACTTTTAAATGCAACCAAACTATGGAAGCCTAAAAACACACAACAATTTTGGAAATTTACCTCAAAACAAATTAAACAGATGATGTTATTCATTCCTGTATTGAACTCATAGCAAGTATTCATTACTAGTGAACCTGGTGGGTTTTTTTTTGTTTGTTTGTTTTGTTAAGTCTCCTCCTAAGAATCGAAGGACTTCATTGTAGGCTGCAGACCCAAGAACACAAGGGACTTACCAAGCCCTTCTTTAAGTTGGGAGAAAGCATCTAGGAGAGATCTCCAATGGTTATGGATATTCTTTAGAATAAGGGGTCCTCCCTACAATCCTACAAGCTGAGTGGGTGAGACCTTCATCTAGCTAAAAGAAAAACTTTTGAAGAACAGCTCTGGTCCCACCTGGTGCTGCTTAAAAAAAAGCAGAATGTAATCCAGCACCTGAAAAATATAGGAGGATTAGTCTGGCACTTAAAGAGCAGCTTAGTTGTTTTTTGTTTTTTTTTTTTAATGTAAAATTGTGGTCAGGAAACAGCAGGAAAATGCATACTTCCTATTTCAGCAAGCTGAAAACCAATTTAATTAAAACTTAATTGTATGCAGCACAGGAAAAGCCAAAGTAAGAGAAACTGTGGGCATACCTCATGATTTTAATAGCATAAAAGGTTTTAATAATGAAGGCAAATGCTGCACGACTGTGATAGTAACTGTTCCGCAGTTATACAGAGCAGTATGAAAATCAGTATATGCAAAATGTCCAGTGTATTTGTGTTCCTCCATCATAACAAATATCAACCACCACAACACACATCCATGTCCCATCAGGGAGTAAAGACACAAGGTGTTCCCAACAGAAATAAAATAGTGTTAGTATCACTCTGCATGTCAAATCCTTGCAAATTTTGTGTAAAGTAAATCCTCACCTGAAATAGTCCGTGTAGTTTTGGCTATCCAGGTCAGAGCTACCATGTCTCTGTTGACTTGATTCAAAATGCTAAAAAGAGCTCCACAGCTCTGGAACAGGACTGGAGGAAGACGTCACCTGTAATCTCAGACCACCTTGTTTTGTTCCCAAGATGCTTAAAGACATCTGAAACAGTTAGCATCACCTGATAACATTTACTATCAGCCACAAAATTCCTTATCAAATCTTTTGATGTCAGCTCCAGGATAGGACCTACACCTGCCAGCTGCCTGAACTCCATCCACCTGCTTTCCCCACATCAACTGATTCTCCAGAGAAACACCATTAACAATCAGTCATCATTTGGAGATGAAATGAACCATCAACCACCACATTTCAAACAGTTTTCCCCACCAATCTTTCACTTAATTCATTTGGTCTTTATAGAGGGAGGAAACGACTATACTTCCACATCATTTGCAGTCTTATATAAACCGTATCATTCAGGGTAATAAACATTCAAAAAATTATTTTAGTGCACCCAGGTTGCTCCAAAAGTAATGCCTCCTATTTATTTCCATGGAAATGACAACCGATATAAAGAGCACAATAACAGAGAGCAAGTTCTCAGCTACAAACCCCCCTCCTTTTTTTTTTTTTTTTTTTTTTTTTTTTACAACACATTCTGCCAGACTGCCCCTCTGCTGCTATCTGTCATGTGGCAACAAAATGTAATAGAACATTGGTGGGAAGGTTCAATTTCTCCTGCAATACCACCATCTACTTCTGATGTCATGGGCCATCATATAATAGGAGGCATTGCCTTTGGAATAGTGCTTCTATAGAGAAAAGCAAATATCACTGAAACCAAAACTGGTGAACGGTCAGAAGTTGACATAAAGCTGATACTTCATGAACGCCAAGGAAACTGGAAATGTCTCTTAACAAGAAAGTGTAATTAACATACCTGTGTATTCCCTCAGGTACCCTCATCCTGAACTGCCTAAAACTGTACACTTTATATCTTCAATTCTAAAACAAACAAATGCAATCTCAACTCAGTTTAGAGTAACTCAGTGTGTGCACATCTTACCAGGACTATTTGTAATCTGGAAAAGGGATCTTCAATCTTTCTATCTGAAATTATTTCCATGCTTTATTACCATGCAGGAAATTAATGTTGTGAAACACTACATACAGAAGAAACACAGAGCACTATTAAAAGTTCCTTCTAAACCTACAGAATAAAAGCGATTATGTCCACTATAGTCAGCAGCTGCCTTTTAAAAAAGTCATTTAGGCTATCAATACACTTAATAATTAGAATTGACAATATATAGAAAAATCAAACATTTTAGATTACATGTTAAGTCAAGAATGCATAGGGTTAACAGATCCTAAGGTAACAGCAAATATGACTACAATAATAATAAAAAAAAACACTTGCAGAAATTTGGGCAGCATCTCAATTCTCTGAACTGTCACCAAAAAAAAGTTGCCATGCTAAAGCTCATGCCAGTGTCTAGACAGTTTAATAAGAACTGTTCTAGGAGGGAATCAGTGTCATCTTCCCAAAAAGCAAGGGATCTAAAAACAGAACACAAAGATAAGCGATCAAGTGACCATCTTCTAAGGCAGAAGGGAGATCATATCTTAAGAAGTATTGCAAATGGGAATCGTATCCTAATCTTAAAAAGAACAACAATTTAAGAGATCTAGGGTGTACTCAGTTATTTCAAGCTTAGAAAAGCTTAGAATTGAAATAAAAATATTTTAAGCAAGAAATATTATTCAACCAACTGAAAGCTTGGCATCTTTCAAGCAAGCCATACTAACTGGTAGCAAGCAAATTCCACTCTCTGCTTTCATCATATGTACGCAGCAATGGTTACAATTTAACACAGATGCTCCCCCCCAAAAAGGAGCACAAACTGCATATATGATGACATTTCAGAAAAAAACCCCATGATGGCTACAAGAAATTATGCAGTTATTTCTATTAATATTACCATATTTAGATGAAAAGGCTAGGTGTAGTCTGAATGCATAGAAAGAAACAAAAACTAACATCAAACAGTAAGATTAACTTCTAAATAATCATAGTATCAATTAAGAATTGATTCAAAACTTGTTTGGTAGTCTGCATGGGGAAATCCTTGAGATACTTAACTATAGACACTTTGAACAGTAACATTTCTTACATGTTTTATTTCTACAAACTGGTACATTTTATCACAAAAAGCTACAAGGCATATTATAACACATACTCTATTATACAGAGTGCAATGCAGTTCCAAAACAGCCACACTCAACAGCACAATTTTTGAAGTTTACTCTTTCTGTACTGAGGTAATCATAAGCTTATGCCAGACAGCATTTAAAATATTTACCTCCAGACGATCCTTCCAAATGATTAGATCAAAAACTATATCAAACTTTCAATGCACACATCAAAAAAATAGGAAGCTTAAAAAAATATACAACACAATGTTTAATCAGCTTTAACAGTCAGTTTGCTATAAAAAGCTCAACTAAAATAATCTTAATTTCATTTTAAACAAAATCAGAAACACAAAGGAATTATATGAACAAGTTCTCCACAGAATGGAATGCATGCATAGGGTGGGGAGTCTTCAACAACGTTCATTTGAGACTATTAAAAAGTCTTAGCCACTTTAGAGCAGAAATAAAAAGCTGTTTTGCCCCCCCAATATTTTTTTTCTCATTTTCTTGCATTTAATTATCTTCAGTGTGGTCTAAAGTAAAGTCAGTTTGCTCTTCAGTTTCTTCCTCCTCTTCTTCCTCCTCTTCTTCCTCACCCTCAGCTGGCTCTTCAGCCTTGTCTTCTTCTGTCTGCTGCTCCTGAGCCTGATCATTGATTTCAAAAGGATTTTCACCCTGGATGAGAAAGTTTAACACACTTCAAATATTTGTTCCAAACTAAAACAGTGTTTATCATTTCAGTGACTGAAGTGGCACATAGAAAAATCCCAAGTATATAAAACACAAAATTCAGCATTCAGTAAATTAAAATTACATTTTAAAATTTCTGAATCTTTTTATTAAGACCTACAAATGCTTCCTTTCCCCCAAAATTCAAATCAAATCTGAATATTAAAATAATCCCTTCTTTTCTTTATTCACTGCTAATTCCAAATAACCCTACCAAAGGCAAAAAATTCCATAAATAAAAAAATTAAATGCAGAATTATATTGACTAAACTAAAACCCATTTCATTGCTGATCCAGAAAAATTATCAAGCGGATCTTAAGGACTATTTTGAATACACTGCCATTCTAGTAGCCTTTTTCCTCTATTTCATAGGATAATTGTGAACAAGATGCACCTCAACTTTCACTTCTTTTAGATGTTTAAACACTATGAATAATCAATGAGTAACATGAAATATTGGGAGTTTCTTTGTCCTTTCATGTCTGAATAGCTGACAGAGTGACTCTGATGTGAAAATGATGTGAAAATGACACCACCAACTTGCTACATCAGGATCCACAATTTTGCACAGAGAAACTCAGCGTAATATGAAAAAAAGAATGCTCATTAAGTTGTATCAGTAGTCATTAACAAAAAAATAATAATTAGAAGTTGTTGACTTGCAGTTTTGTTCTTCTTGTCAAAGGGATTTATGAAATTCATTACCTGCCTTTCAGAGTTGTACCTAGTCTATTCAACAATCTCACAGGACTTTTCTGTTTCAAGTTTTCTTTCTACTCTGCATATGCAGGATAGACAAAACCTTCTGAAATGGTGGGGTTTTTTGTTTATTTTTGTTGGTGGTAGTTTTGGGAGACTCCCCCCCCCTGCACCCCAATGGTCCCTTGTCTTAAAACCACTGATTTGCAATCATAAGCAGGGTTTACTCCACTCCAGGAAAACTACAGGCATGTACTGGTTCATAAAGTGCTGCATAAGACAAACAGACTCTTTCAATCTGCAGTTCTTTATACGTTGAGATAAGTGTGAGAGGAAACTGTATAACCAGAAGCTGTACACATCTCACTGAGCATGTGTGTATAATGCTGAAGGAACACCAATGAAGCACTCTGAAAATGGTGGTGCCCTCCTTAGGAAGGCAATCTTGCCTTTATCTATTGACAAACAGCAAGTTCCCATCCCTCATCCCATCAACCCCCCACTAGGGGGCTGTAAAGAACAACACATACACATCAAACCATAAGATGTTACCAGCAGAGACCCTTGGAAATACTTTCAAATATTTGAAACCGTGCTATCTGGTTGTCACCTTTTCTCCTTCCTAGAGAAGTTGTCTGAAACCAATTCATGCATCCCATCACCCACAACTGCTCAAAGCATAACTGAATTTGATTTTTTGGATTACAGTTAAATTCTGCATTGGCTCACTCCTATCATATTTCTGCAAGGCAAAACTGCTCTTCTGAAAGAATCCATTGATTAGGCACAAGGAAAGTTATAAGCCAATTAATCATAATTAACAAAAATAAACAAAAATAACCAACAATGTTACTACGAAAAGATACATATCTGGACAAAGAAAAAAACATTCTTGCCAAAATGAATTTACCTATATTTCCTCAAGCTGTGAATTTGCAACGCAGGCTGCCCAGCCTTTTAAAGTTTTTTAATCACAACTACTTCTGTAAACTTCCATGAGTTCTAGAAATTCTGAGGAGTATTAGACAAGAAGAATATACAGTACTTTACTACAAAGTCTATGCAGGAGTCTTTGCTTCTGAACAAGGATTAACTCATTTGTAAAGTGTTTTGTGTTCTACAGTTAGTATTGTGTAAAGACACTGCTAATATTTTCCTAAAACTTGACTTCATAGAAATGACTGATCAAATATTGACCAAATATATATAAATGCAAAATCAAAAGCGTAACTGGTAAATCTGAAAGTGGTCATTTTTTCTGCAAATAAATTAAGTTAAAGCCTGTGGCCCCATGGTGCAGCTTGGTGCTCCTTCCCACCAGTGCAGGACAGGTGGTACTCAGAACTGCAGATCTGCATGCAGCTTGGTTGATGTGCTTGCTAGGATACACAGACAGTAGGAAATTAAAACTTGGAGAGGGCTGTTTGGCTATGCATAATTTTCCCTGTAAGATGAGTTCTTGTCTCCTTTCTGATTTGTGTGTTCTATGGAGACATTCAAGGTCAGGCTGGACCAGGCTCTGAGCAACTTGGTCAGTGTGTCCCTGTTCATGGCAGGGGAGTTGGACAAGTTGACCTCTGAAGGTCCCTTTCAATGACTCTGATTCCATGATTTAAGACAGTGATGTGAAACTGGAAAAATACATTACAGTACACTCAATGTGTGAACAACCAAGATGGCAGAAACAGGAGACAGAGCAATGAGGTTAAATCCCATCCATATGGATGAAATGGTGATGTCACTAATATTACAGATGACAGCATTTTACTTTTCTTATTCACATCTTACCTTCACATACAGCTCATATCGTGCCTTGACTATTGGATTATTCAAGATACTGGTAGCAGTAAGAACACTCTCCCTTTTTATTTGTTCTCTGTAGGCCTAGGAAACAGATTTTGTGGTGAACAACAATTATAAACCTGTTTAATTGTCACATATTTCAATTTGTGGTTTGTTTCTGTAAGGTAAATCATGAAAGTAATAGAAGACAAAATGCTTACTCCTGGCATTTAAGTCCAAACTATATAATAAACTGAATTAAGTTTGATAGCATTTAAGTATTATACAACAAACTACAAACAATGATGCACCTGTCCATTCCCAGTTACCTGTTCTCATCTATAGACAGATATTTCTCCATCACAGCCTAATACAGTTCATAATTACACAAGCTCAAGAAATACGTTAGTTTGGAAATCTGACTTATTGTGACAACTAAGATGATTCTTCTATTCATGCTACTCTAACTCTTCTACTAGTGTTAGAAACATATCAAACTGTAACAGAATCCAAATCCATACTGCTCCTAATTCTACACTACTCTCACCTTTTTCACATTAGAAGGATAATAGACAATCAAAAAAGACATCAGTACTATTACCTTACTGGAAAGAAGTTTTACAGTTACAATTTGAATAAGAGTCTGATACTTCATAGCAGCAAAAAAAAAAAAAAAAGCCCTGAAAATAAAAAACTTCTCAGCATTCACTACTGACAGCTATCAAGTACACCAACTTTTCATTAACTACAGATATTCAAATGCCAGCTATTTCATGAGACATTTACAAAGGGTATTCTAGATTTTTAGAAAAATAACACTAATACAGTTTAGAAATGATTCATTCTGCTCACCTACTATAAGATTATATCTTTAGTATTATTATTTCTTCTTTTTAAGTAATATGCCATATCTTACTTGTTTTCCTTTTGTGTGATCAGGAGACTTTAAGTGCTGCTGAACAGAACTGTGCAATGCAGGAACATACACACTGCAAGCACTGCAGTGAACAGTCTCAACTTTCATCATATGGTCATCAGCAGTAACACCTGCCAAAGAACACATAACAAGTCATTAACATGGAATTGTCATTCCAGACAACTACAAGAGGGATTAGTTATTCTATATCAGGAAAGTTAGAACTTTCAATTGTTAAACACATCAGACTGAACCACAGGGGAACATTCACGCAAATTCAGGCATAAAAATTAGGCTAACTGAAGATAACATTGAAAGAGGATGTATTTCATCTGGATACTCCAATGCCTTCTCTCCACAGACTATATATAAGAGGCAATTATGTTTGATGCCTGAGGTTATAAAACATGAACACTTACCTGCCTACATAGAGGAAGATAACATTACAACAATCAGAAGTTTGAACTCTCTCAAATATCACCTGGTTTTCAAAATCTACAATAACCAATATTCTTAACACACATTTTAATACAACAAATCAACCTTGAAACCCTCAATTTTTCCACAAAGCAGCTGAATTAGTTTTAGCCCTGATATTAATAGTTTATTTCCTTGTTGCTCCAAGCCTGATCTCCACAGTATGTGCTACCACATAAAGAGCATTTGCTCACCTTCCATGATATCTTTTTCAACAGCTTGGGCATTTTCTGTTTGGTTACTAGTCTGTTGTTTACGCATAGCTGTCTTCTTGAATTTATTCACCATACACTCCTACAGAGAATCAGAGAAAACAGTTATGAAACTAACATGTGAGTATTTATGTTCCAGTAGGAACTTACAGAAGAAATATTACTCAGAATAATATTAAATTATATATAATAACAATATCAATTAAGCATATTTTGAAAACCAAATAATATATTCTAATTACACTCTAATATAAAAGTATTTTGCAAGTAAAAAAAAAAATCCCTTTTCTTACATGAAGAAACTCCATCACTACTTTGTCAAATTTGGTTTGCTTCTGAATATGATCCAGTGTTTCCTGGTGAGCTGCACTCTCCAGATGGGATTCAATTTCTTTTTCTTCAAATGTTCGAAATTTGCAAAATGAGCAAGTAAATGCCATTCTAGCAAGAGAAATGCAAGCAATAATATTACTATTAAAGGAACATTCTTCCCTCAAAAGATTGAAGACCTCACAAAACTAATCAGAAATGGAATAGAAAAAGTACTCCTTACAGAAGCCTAAATGAAAAAAAAAAAGTCCAGCATTCTACTATTAAAAGCGTATCTACTACAAGTTCCAAAAAAAAAAAAAGCTACTCTAAGACTAATTACCTTTCTGTGTAGGAAAAAAACTGCTAGACATTTTAAAGTCATTAGCATGCTTCACTGTAGCAAAACTAAGATAAGTTATGTGTAGGTAGTTCTATTTTTGCTACAAAACAGCTCACTATACATATCAAAACTGAATGAGGTCAGTTTTGTATCAGCTTAAGTCAACATTAACATAAATTTGTTTAACTGAAATATATACTTCAAAAACAGTACCATTCTAAGCTGGTTCTGAAGTGTTCAGTGATGCGTTTGTCAGAAAGAGGTTAGTAATTCATATACTTCCTGATACAGTAGGACTCAAGTGAATCATAAAACATCTTGGGTTGGAAGGGACTTTAAATATCACCTAGTTCCAACCACCCTGGTTGGTTGGAGGCACACCTCCCACTAGATCAAGTTGCTTAGAGTCCCACCCAATCTGGCCACAAACACTTCTCGGGGATGAGGTATCCCCAGCTTCTCCAGGCAGCATATGCCAGTGCCTGACCACCCTCATCATGAAGAATCTCTTCTATTTCTAATCAAAATTCACTCTATTAAAGAAACTGTTACCCCTTGAACTCTCCCTACAGCCCTGAACAAGAAGTCGCTCATCTTTTCTATAGGCCCCTTTAAGTACAATAAGGTTGCTATAGGCCCCCCCCCCCAGAGACTTCTCTTCTATGGACTAAATGACCCCAGCTCCCTTAACCTGATCATCCTTGTGAATCTCCTCTGGGCCCTCTCTGACAGGTCCATGTCTCTTTCTTATGCTTTGGGCCCCAGGGCTGAATATCCAGTCTTCTAAATCAAGAGATTTGGGTGCTGTTTATTTCTGCTTGTTTGATGGATTTATTTTTCATTGAAAAATCAGTACAAAAGGGCCTTCCAGGAACAAAGACATTCTTACACAATAAGGATAAGGCAGAAGAAAACCAAAGCACACAAGACAAGTTACAACACAAACCTGTATCCATCACCGTATTTCTCGCTGTTTTTTTCCCTTCTACGCCTTTGCTTCTCTCTTCTAGCTTCAATTCGCCGCTTTTCCTCCTCTTCACTTTTAGCTTCTCCTTTGGAATCTTAACATACAGAAGGATTTTAAAACATCACGTACCCCCCAAAAAATCCATCTTTCCAGGGAAAGCACTTGCCTTCCATGTTTCTGCCACAAACACCCAAGGAATAGTGAAAAATGCAGACAAAGGACTATTCACTCAGATTCACATACAAAAACAACATCTATAAAACCTTACCTGACAAAGCCAACTGACTTACCTCCAAAAGTCTGATACCCAACATCATAAGCATCCCTTGTAAAGTCTTCATATATAACAACTGCACCACTTGTATCCACTTCAATTTCCTAATTTAAAACCACAAATGTCATGAAAAAGATGCGATGCCATTCTAAATCCAAAAAACAGTTTGTCACTTTAATTCAAATAATTTGTTACTTTTTCATTTTAATTAAATACAATGAAGTGTACAGAGTAACTACATATAGACTTAATGTACCTCAAGTACTTGTAACCTCAAGTTATACATTAATCTTTAACACTTGATATGTATATGGATTAATTTCATAAGCCTTCTGACTTCGAACACAAACTTATAAATACTTTGTTGAGAATACATTAATACCTTCAGTCAACAAGAAGGAAATGATGTTTCAGTCTCAACACAGAGAAAAGATACATACCCTGATCTCAATAATCACATTTCTGGTATACTGTTGCAACTGATCTTCCTGTAAGTGGGAACTAATCTTTGCACCTTACCAGAGACTATCTGTTAACAATAACATTTCCATTCACTTTCTCTCCTTAATATGTCCCATGTCTGATCTATTCTCTCTCGTTGTAGTAGTTCCCATCATTTTCTACTTAAATTTCCTAATCCCAACCAGGTCACAGGTATGTGAAATGAAGCTGACTGCCCATAACAATATGGGGAGTGTTCACATCACAGCTATATCACGAGAATAGCCTGGAAGTCTACAAATACATTTTAAATTCACTTTTCACAAGATATAGCACAAGTTACACCCTTCATTCAAAATCAGTAAGATTTTATGCCACCAAACTGAGATAGTTTAAGATAAAATGGGAAAAAAGTTTACAAAAAACTTTCATAATTAAGTGCTTAGTCCTTAAATAACTAGCTTAATAATTACCTGTATTAAGGTATACTATACAAAACTCCAAACTAATCAAACATTTTCCAGTTCTGAGAGTCTTACCTCTATAGTAGAATCCTGGAAAGATGACTTCATATCTATAAGCATAAAATGAGGAAGAAATAAATAATACAAAACTGCTGTTTAATATCACTATCAATTAATTTTAAAGCAGCTAAGTTACCCAGGAAAAAAAATATTATCCTGCATTTAAGACAGTCTACATCTACAATTATCATATTTTAATAGCACTAGAAATAAAACCAGATATCCACAGAAACAAACAAACCATACTTTTAGAAACAATCACTGCTATTTAACTCCAAAAACTAAGAAAGTAATAACTTTTTGAGACAGGTTATACATTAAAAATGATTTTTTAAAAAAATCACTGAAATACATCCTATGTTGTGTGCATCAGTTTCCTGTTACTTGAAATCCACTTTTTTAGTTTCAGCCACACTACATTGCTCAGAGCACCTTTCAGTGTAGGTCTTAATAAACTGCACTAAGCTTCTCAACAGATAGAACAGTTACAAAATAGCACATGAAGACTTCTTCCTAAATATTAAAACTAAATAATTGCTAATAAATAAGTAGTAGTGATTTTTACTTAATGTTGGCTCTTTATCACTTACTAGATGATTTTTTCTGTGTCAACTTCAAAATAGGTTTTGTCATTTTGGGTTTCTTGATAAATGTCCCACCAGGTTTGTTGTATGGCTGTGGCATCATTTTCCTTTTTATTCCTCTTGCAGCAACTGCTGCAGGGCTGGGTTTGTTATGATAGTCAACAACAATTCCAGGTCTGTGCATTCCTCCAAAGTCTCCCATATGCTGGAAATTCATGAAAAGAAGGTATTAGTATATGAAATCAATAGACATAAAACAATTACTTGTACAAGTGTTTACAATTAAACCGCAAATTAAAACGTGCATTCTGGAACAAAATGCAGGGGAAATTTAAGTTTCCAATTTCAGTGTTTTGTGCAAAGGCTGTGTGGGTGTTTGTCCAGTAAAATACACACACACACCTATATAAAAACAGTGTTTCTGCTTATTCAGAACCATTGTCCAAAATGACGAACATGCCTGTCAGTCTCACCCTAGCATCTTTGCTTCCCTCTTCAGATTTTCTACATGAAAACTTGTCCTTCCGTGAAAAAAACAGCTAACCAAATCATTTTTTCCTACACTCCAGTTGACAGCCATTTAAAAAAAAAAAACTTCTATATGCCCAATGATCAGCAACTGAAAACTTAATAAAGGTTATCCAGTGATAAACTTGAAGGAAGCTCAGTCTCTCTTTTAATTAGTCATTCCAGGATGATGCATGACAGTGAACTCAAAAGTTGTGCTTCATACAAAAACTATGCCAGCAACAGGAATGAAAATTCATTTGAAAAAACTAAGCCTTTCTATCTTATCTGAAATGCTCTAGAGACATTTATGGACATCTGTTTACAGAAACAACCTCTGAGTAATCTGAAGAGGGAGAAATTAGGCAGCCATTTTTTTCCAAAGCGCTAACATTTTTCTCAATACTAGCTCAGCTATTTGATTAATAAAGGGCAGAAGGGAGCCCATTGACTGGTTGGGCATATTGGATAAGCAGAAATATTCCCATCACTGTGAGAAGAAAATTACTGCTACACTAGCAAAGTTAAATGAACATGAAAATAACTTCAAACATACAAAATGTATGCCCATTTTATTAGCAGATTTTAAATCACAAAGTGAATGTACCAGAACAGGTTACTTGTCTTAATCAGAAGTCCATGCACAAGAACTCCATGTTAATTTATTTAGTTGAGATAGTTACAGAACTACCTAGTATGTATATTTACACTGCATGTATATAAAATTTGATATGAAGTCAGCACTTGAATAATGTCAAGTACGTTTTTTTTTTAAACAGTATCTATTAAAGGTGCAATGCATTTTAAATATAGTAAGTAGTTTAGTTCTTATGTAATAAAGGACAATGCAGAGGCCTACAAAGATAGATTTTAAAAAGCAAAAACAAAGAAGAAATTAGGCTGCTTGGTCAAAAATTTGCACAAAACTTTCAGATCCAAACGAGTTCTGAAAGGATGGCATCAAAGCTTAGGAATCAAGTGCTTTCAGCTTGAAAAGTAAAGAAATAAGAAGATCAGACTATTTCTAAAACCATGCTACATGCTAGCTAGTAGCCATGTGCAAACCTGAGCTAAAATTTGAATATGGCAACTACAGTATACAAGAATGCTGCAAAGTAAATCTTCTGAAACAAAACCAACACACAATTAGGCACTTAAAAAAAGAAAAAAAACAAATAATCTTCCTCTACACTTCAAGCTACAAACAACTTGTGAAGTTTAACATTAAAGAATCACTTCCCAAAGAAACATGGCACACAAGAATTTTAAAAGTGAAGTTGCATCTAGAGGCATAGACAGAAAAGCACTCACTGAACTCTTTATGCTTTGAAGTTAAAAATATATATATATATATCAGAATTGAGATTATAAAACCAATGTAAAGGGACACCATCAACTTAAACTTCATATTTCTGCCAAGATGATTTCTTAATTAACTCCAATTTTTCCTCTAAGTCATTTAACATTAAGCATTACTGCTCCAAATTGTCTGTGAACCACTATTTGTGTATGTTTAAAACTGACATACTTTTCACATCCTATCCTGGAAGCCGCTGAAAAAGAGTTACAACACAGCTACAAAATAAAACATACACAATTAAGAGGACTAGGAACATTACCTGGAAATCAATCTCAGGTCTGTGAAAGAATCTGATTTCAAGTTGATGATGACCCTTTTAATGATGCTTCAATTTTAAATGAGAATCATTTGTAACAGCTAACCACCTACCTTCACAATTTCCTCCTCATCATTCTTTCAATACACAAGTCATGTGCATTTTTCAATATACAAGCACATGTTGAACATATTAAAGATTTAGCTAAGATTTTTACCTTTACAGAAAACAAAAACTACTCTAGCATTTACAACCTGGGTTTTATTTTTTGCATATACATTGCACCTTTAACCTACTCAAAACTTCAAATGGCTTTGAATTAAACTTTTACAATACTCAAAAATTTCCCCACCAGCAAGAAGGATGCTAGTGTTTACAAGGAAAAATGCAAGTCCTTTTAATCCCTTTTAGACCAAACCTATTACTTTTATCTTCACCTTTCACACAAAAGGAGAGATTTAATAAACCTTATCAACTAGTCTTCTATTATTCATTACTTTCGAAAGAGAAAGACTGCGTTCTACTTGAAGACAGCTTCAAGGGGGTAAACAACATCAACCATGACAGTTTGCTTGGACAAAAAAAGGACAACAAAAACACAACACACTGTATTGAACAGTGTCTCAATTTTATAGCAGTGGTCTTGAAAGGGTTTAAAAGAGTGTCTAGTGAAAAGAATCTGAAAAGATTCTGTACTTACTCCTCGGCCTCGGCCTCTGCCTGTTGATGGTCCTCCAAAAGCATCATAGTTTCTGCTTCCAAATCCACTTTCAGGATAAGCAGGCGTTCCTCTCCCCCGAGAGCCTACAGGTGCAGGCTTCATATGGGGTGAAGAAAAACTGCTGTAGGAAGAGTAACTCTCTCTTCCTCTGTCCTCCATAAACCCAGGCCTCAATTTTGAACGGGAGTAAGGTGCTTCCCAGCTAGACCCGCCCTGGTTTCTACCTCCGAAAGAGTCAAGGCTATTCCGGTAGGAGTTGTCAAATCGACCACCATAACTACCTCCGAAGCGGCTTTGTTCGGGTTCATTATAACCATAGCCAGATCTGTACAGATCTCGCCCACCCAGAGAAGACCCGGAGTCGTAAGACTCATAAGGTCCAAACCTGGAAAAGTTGCACAGTGAGGAGAAAAAAAAGTAAGCTTACTAAAGTTATACATTTCAAAAGACAAGTTATCAGTTGACATTTATCAACTAAAATCAATTTACTACTATACTGGTCTGTACACTTGTGTTATTGTTTAATCTTGATTAGGGCTGGGCAAGCGACACTATGACCAGATAGAAAGCTATCTGAGCCATTTTTGCTACAAGGAATTCTAAAGTTCAGTATGCATGAACTTTGCTTAGTTAAAATTTTCGGCAACATTTGCTAAAATATGATTAGAGCCCAGCCCTAGTCTCATGACAATAATCACCTGCAGACATTCACAGGCCAGTCAAACTCTCCCTTCTTCAAAATCATGCCCTCATAGTTTAACAGTTAAACAGCAGTTAAAAGGTGGCTTAGCTCTCAACTGAGAGAAAATTTTTTTTTAGTGGTACAGTTGTGAGTCTTAAACATCCCAGAACTCTGATTTTAAAGAAAAATTAGAGTGCTCTTCCATTCATATTAATACTTTTTAGAAATCTCCTTCCCTGAAATATTCAGTATCCCGTTAAAGGTTCACCATCTTCAGTATACATATATCTTTTGTTTGCAGACCATTAAGTCTAGCAACTCAGGATTTTTGAGGTTTATCACAATCCATGCACAGTGAACAAAAATACAGCCTTTGAAATTTCACAGTAAAGAAACAAGGAGCTGAAATCTTTAGCTATTTACTAAGTTTGTTTTACTTTAGGAGAGAGTCAGGCTGAATATCATCTGTATTTGTAACCAGTTGGAAGGGAAACACATAGTATCCCTACAGAGTTACAGTAGGTGATTCAGCAGGAGCCGGGATAGACAACCCCTTGACTGATAAAATACAAGCTAGAACAGACTCAGCACCTGGGATCTACAGGAAACTGAACACCTTCATTTTAAAACATCTTGTAGAAGACCCAGAACTACACAGAAAATGACACTATCTATAGAAAGAGTCCATGCACAATATAAACGTTACATGGCAAGAGGTATTTCCATGTTCAAAGACATTCAACATCAATCATATGCAGATTACTGTATGGTAGGTACAGCTCATTCCTGAATCTCTGCTCAGACTTTCAAGTCAATCTTAATGCTCATCAATAAACAAATTAAACTGAACTAAAATGTTTAACAGAACCATGCAGCAAAACACAACATTTCTCCAGCCTACCTACTTAGTTCTGTCCTTGCCCAGTGGTACTGCAGTGACTACAAAGAAGAATCATAGTGTAGGCTGGCTAGAGTCGGACAAGAATTCAAAGGCGCACACAAGAAAACCATCAGATTATCAAAGTTTTCTTCACGTGTTATTTCTTCTGAGATTGAATCACTACTCTGGAAAGCATGCTTTTTGAATATGATACTGTACCCTAAATCAAATCAGCTGCTTCTCACTGGTTTTTTGGGTTTGTTTTTTTTTTAATCTGAAAGAGCAACAGGAATAATATCCTAGCGTTAAATACACAACTTTATGACCACTGCACCAGAAAATTTATTTTTAGACCAATCCATCTTACAAAGCAGCCTAGAACAAGCACACAATTTTGAATATAATCAGTACCTGCCAATGAAATAATCTGGACATGACTTTCAGATTCAATACCAAGATCATTTGAGCACGCCACATTCAAACCAAAGAGCACATATCCTAAATGTTCCTTGAAAACGGAATGTTGATAGATTCAGTCTAAGGCACTAAACCAATTAGGTCTAATCTGCTATGTCAGAAACAGTATGTCAGGCCAATCAGCTACGAATTACTAACCATTACAAAAAAAATAAAAAATCCATTTTCATTCAAAGATACATTGTTTCACTATCAAACATTTCCACAAGTGTTGATTGTTACAGTCTAACTTTTACAGTTAAATATTTGCCAGTAGTTAACAAATACAAAGATTCAGAACAAAAGTGTTCATAAAAAAATCATAACAACATGCCTCAGGAACACTTAAGTTAGAGAGCAGAATGATTTAAACTTAAAATTGGATTAAATCAATTCTTGGGAGAACTGAAGGATCATTTTACCTGTTACCACCACCACCACCTCCTCCTCCTCCTCCACCTCCATGACTCTCCATCCCATAGGACTGGTTAAGGTAAGAGTCCATGGATCGTGGGCCACCATAGCCTCCATGCCCATAATCACGGTCCATGTCTAAAAAAAGAGCAGAAAAACGTTTATTAAGAAAGCAAGAAAGAAGTCTTATTTAGTAGCCTAGCTTATACTCTTAAATAAACCATTTAATTTTTGCCACAAGCGCTTACAAACAAAATACCAAACTTTCAGTTGTGAGTTAATTTCACTACTGTGCTGAGGGAAGCCGTGCATCTTTGTCATCATACAAAGACCTCTTAATTGAAATCAAGATCACTTTTTTCCCAATAGATCAGGATTATTGTTCCATCAGCTGGAGTTTAGACACAAGTTAAATTAAGAGAACTAAAATGAAGCTTGATGAAAACATCAGAAGTTAGCACAGAATGATGACCATTTCCCACTGTCTAGTATGACACACAGTTCACAGACACCTGGCCATACAATGCCACAAGAAACACATGTTGACAGAGGTGCTAGTTCAAGGTCACAACGCATATCATGCTGTTGTGCAGACACTGTATGTAGGCTCCAGTCAGAAGAATTTTCTCCATTCTAGCACCAACAAAAACCCACCACAACCAGCACTGAGCTGCAGCTGACCAACTCCACAAAGATGGTTGTATTTTATAGCTGATGTCACTTTATGACATCTTTGTATCTTGTAAGGAAGTCAGGCAAAAGAACCAAGTTTCTCCCCAGCACTGTAAGTGCTCTGTAAAAGCTCTAAGATAGCGCCATAGATCTGCATAACAAGTATGATCCAGCCTTCCCACAGCATACACCATTTCCCTTCAACAGTATCTGCGTGACCCAAACTGCTTCCCAGTGCTGACCAACACTAAAATAGCCTGTCAAGTCAAGCCTCTTAGAGAAGGTAATGCAAAAAAAGACAGTCAGCAAATGCAGGAAGAATAAAAATATAACCACAAAAAGATTTGCGCACAGTGACAAGAGTAGTTTCGACATTTCAAAATCTCCAAGTTTAAGATAGACTTTTCCAGAATAAGACAGTAAGCTCAAGTGAAGTAGTAAGAAGCATTCTCCATTTAAAGAAACACAGTAATTCCGTGTACACATCAATTTCATGGAAATAACTGTAGCAATGAATTAAGTATATAAAATATTTCCTGCTTGTAACTTCTCGTTAGATCAGAACAATGTTGCAAGTTACTCTCTTACATCCCTTAAGAAAGAAAACTCCACAAGTAGTATTTATCTGATTATCACACTGTCACACGGATGTTCTTAAAGAACCTCAACAGCCTCCAAGAAATGGAGATTTGTTGTTGCTGTCGTTTTCTTTCAATGAGCACACGCACTTTTTAGAAAGTTAAGGATGATACTTCTAGAACTTTGAAGTCATACTGAATATTCCCGTATTTAGAACTTACAACAAAGACACAGCAAAGTAGGAAATAAAAGCTGCTGAAAGCACTAATCACATAACATCAACTTCAAGCATAAGAAGTTAAACTAAGGAATCCAATAAGACTTCCAATGTAAGCATCCAGCATTCCTCCCACCCAGACTTACTGGGCTGCCTTTTACCTATGCTGTATGATTTAAAAGGGAGTTGAAAGAAGTACAAAGATGTGACATGAACTCAGCACCTGCACGGCTTCCCACTACAAGAAACTGGAGGCAACAAATGAAAAAAAAACAAAAACAAAACACAATCGGATGCTTTCTCACAAAACAGATATTTAAGTCCCAGAGTTGCTCTTCGACAAGATGTTACTGAAAAGTTGCATGCATTTCCATGGTACAGAAAGTTTCTAAGCTACCAATCAGGCAAGGCATATAAGTATATCCAAGAAGTACTCGTGTTACTCCTTTCACATCCCCAAGTGGACTGGGTGACATGCAGGACATGGGCAAAGCAGGAAGCAGACAACTCTTTGACCTGGCCTAAGAACAGGTGCTTTTACCATCTTCTTCCATCTTTACCATTAGCTGCTCCAGATTGTTGAGCAGAAGCTATTGTTCCAACCACTGGCCTCAGTTGGTCATTCTGCCAGCCATAAACTTAACCAAAGAAGATTTACAACATTTATGCTTCGTGCCCAGAGCTTGGCAAAGATATTGCATACAAATAACAAGTGTAATGCTTTTTCAGGCACTGAGCTCTTCCTTACTTTGAAATGTGTTCTCCAGATATGCTTTATCCTAAGAGGTGAAAGGGGGAAATATAGAAGCCAGTAAATATCATCTGCACATAGCCAAATAAGAATCACTTGTACAGTTTTGATTATTACAGTCTCAAGAGAAATAGTCTGAGTTCACAAACCTGACCACAGCAACATCAATATCCCATCGCACTCACCACTTTTGATTCTCCTGCTCACCAAAGCCAGCCAGCGAGCATAAAAACATCTGCACAGAACAATTTTTTCAGCCTGCAGCCTGCTCCCTGATCACTGTCATGTTAGCAGCAGCTATCATCACCAGCAGAAATGCACAGAGTAAAATGGGAAGATATTTCATGTGCTAAGAGAACACATTTTTAAATGCTGGGGAAAAAAACACAGCTGGGAATTGTACTGAACAATGTCTCATACTGAAAACAATTCTGAAGTTTTTTTACTTGGGTTTTATTTAAGTTTAAAGAGTAGCTGTTTAGAAAGGAAAGCTCTGAGGAAGTATCGTATCTGCATATCTATGAATACTTTCAAGAGAAATAGAAGGAAAAAGGAAGTTCACAGTCACTCCTGAAGTTTAAATAAGGAGTAAATCTCTGAACTGATGAAGTCACTGACAAAGTATCTGAAACAGTTTGAAGGAGGAATGCATCAGGTTTTGGCATCAGCAGCCTCACGCACAAATACAGCTGGATGAGTGAGACAGTGAGCTAAAGTACAGGAATAGCACAGCAAACAACAATTCCACTTCCCATTTCCAAATTATATTTAAAGGTTCTTGGGGAAAAGGGAGAAAAGTTAAAACAAAGGGGGGAAAATACATTACCTTTAAGATTAAAAAAATTGGGTCACCAAAAGGCAAGTCCCATTTACAAATTAAAATGTCTGCGTACATGTATTCCTTCAGTTTAAGGAAAGAATTAAAAAAAATGCCCAATCTAGTGGATGATTTAAAATTGCTGCAAGATAATGTCTCATTATACAGCAAAGAGAAAACAGTTTTCCTCAGGAAGTAGGATGATAAACACATAGTAGATAAGAATAAGGTTCCACTGGTACAAATGACTCTAGGAGACAGAGATGCTTGTAAAGAAGAAAATAAGATTAGAGGACAATGAAAATGTTCACAGCACAAAGAAGTGATATAGTTCCCAACAGCGTTATCCCCATGGAGCATGTAAGAAGGGAGAAAGTTCTTGTAGTAATGAATAATGAAAAGCTTCAGTAAAACTTAATCTCAGTAATCTTAAAACAATAAAAACAATTACAGATCTGAAATAAAATCTACTTGCCTATAATATTTTTCATTTGTAAATCACAGTGACTACAACAAGCTTAAGGATTCACAACAGTAAGCAGCACTTTTTTCCATTGACATCTTATTTGTTTTTTAATAACTTTAAGATCACAACCTTGTCATTAGATATAGAAGATTTAATGCATTATTAAGTCCCACGTAAGCCAAGGCACCATGTATATGAATGTTAAGATTTGGAGCAAAAGTCGTTTACCCCTCCAGATTACAAGGACAATAGTTATAGAAACCAAAATATTAACATTGTCATAAAATTTATTTGACAGGCCACATCATCCATGTCTCCAACCAAATCATCAGCATGGGTCAACGGCAGAATCACAGTCATCAACAACCATCCAATGAAAGGCATGCTTCCAACCAGCTACAAGTTTCCAACAGGAAGCACTTAGCCAAGACCCAGGCAAAGATGAAAGCACTGAACATTCATCCTCTGTTGCCATCTACTGGACCCCCTGCAAAATAGGCCTTCAGCCTACTGTACAGAATCAGGGTAAAACAAAGGTTCATTTATTCCTTACTAATGTATATACAATGCACAAACATTAATGTCAAATCTTTAAAGCTGCATACATCATAACTAACTTGTTTAATTATTATAATTAAGCTGTACATTACTTATATCATAAGAAAGAGTATAGCAGAGGTACATTGAAGCAATATTTTAATTGTACAATATACGTTCCATCAGTTACTTCTCATAGGATGAGCCTACATTCATTTTAATGCTACTATCATCAGATCTCAGAAAAATAGGTTCTGGTTATTGACTACAGTTAACATTTGAATAAGATAATAAAAACTGCCGATTAAAAACCTTCTCTACAAAATATCTAAGGGAAATTTAATTATGGACCGATACAAAAACTTTACAAAAAATAGGGCCAGAGCTTTTCATTATTTATTTCATTCTGAAGACAGATAATTCAAAAACAGTATTATTGGCAAAGGAGCTAAGACTCAAGGAGTACATCATAAAAACAATCATACTGCAACCAAAGATGCTTCTGTAATCCATGTTTACTCCACATAACAGCCAGCGAGTGCATCAAGAGATCCAATAGTAAATACTTATTTGGTGATATCTGCAAACAAAGCTTAGGTACAGTTTATGGCAAAGCTTTTATATTAACACATTAACAACTTCTTGGTACTTGCTTGCATGCTGGCATGAAATGTCAGAATTACTTGAGTCTTACTAAACTCATAACCTTACTCATCTTACAACTATACATTCCTTTCAGCTGTATGTACACAATACTTTGATAACACATAAACAAAAGCTAAGTTCTGCTCTATCACATTTATTTATATGCTTTTTTTTTTCCTTCCCAAACTTGCAAAGTTCAAAAAAATAAAAATCTGACTTCTGCTTTTCCCCACAGCTGTATAAAAGGGGGAACCACCCCCAACATCAACATGATGGGTTGATGGTTGGACAAGATGACCTTAGTGATCTTTTCCAACCTTAATGATTCTGCAATCCTTAAAACCTCATTGATACCCTTTTCTTTTCAATATAAGTTGTGAAAATAAAATACAGCAGTCCATAAGAAAGCAGATTACTGACTTATGCAAAAAGCATAGTCATAAGAAAGCGTGTATCCCCCCATCCCCGCTCCTTGAACACCTCAGCTCTGACTGGGAACGTGCAGGAGCCCATGTTGACATGCCCAAGACAAACACCAAGCCAGCTATCCTCTTCCAGAACACAACATCTGCAGTCATACCGCGCCACGTATTTCTAATAACCCTTTTTTTATTGTTATTATTATTTTTGTAAATACTGACTGTTCAGCCCCAACGCTTTTTACAGGTTAGATTTATTTATAGCTCATACCTGAGACTGACCCACTGGGCATGTTCACACCACAATGCATGGGGGTATCTGGGAATCTCCAATCTCTGTCTTCAGCTGGAGAGGATGGGTCAGTGAGAATGACTTAGTGCTTAGCGAGAGCTGGAGGGGAGAGACAGGGAGCCACGGCGGAGCGGCTCTCTCTCCTGTCGGACCTCCGGTCTCCTGACACGGCCCCTCACGGAGCTCGCCCCGAGCTCCCCCCGGCCCGGCCCGGCCCTGCCCGCGCCCCCGCCCGCCGCCCGCCCGCCGCCCGCTCGCCCCCCGAGGGCCGCCCCCGCCCGCGCCGCCCCCGCCCGCCCGCGCCCCGGGAGGCCCTCGTCCCGCGCAGCCCTCCCGCCGCCGGCCGCCGCCACAGCTCCCCCGGCCCGGGAGGGGCGGCGAGGAGGAGGAGGAGGAGGACGAGGAGGTGGGTGCCGGTGGGGTTCCGTCCTGCGCGGAACAAAGCGGCCGCTGCCATCTTGAGACGCGGCCGGACCCCGCGGCAGCAGCGGGGACGGCGGCCGGGCCCTGCCCTTGCTCTGGGGGTGCGCTCTCACCTTCCCCGTAGTCCATGGCGGCGGCGGGCCCCGCTCCCTGCTCCCACGCAGCTGGCGGCCGCGGCGGCGTCTCCGACTTCCGTCAATGGCGCCTTCCACCACAACGAGGCGAGGCGGGCCCTGCGCGCGGCAGCGGGGCCACGGCGCGCGGCGATTGGCCCGTACGCGACCGTCACGTGAACAGCCCGGCCGGAGAGGAGAAGGTCCGTGCCGGCGGCGGCGCTTTATGAGTGCCGCGCGGGTTGCCCGGATCTGCGGGGTCATGCGCGAGGCTGCGCGGCCGCCATGTTAGGTGCTGGCAGCCGCCATTTTACGTTATGGCAGCGAGCCTTGTCGTGCTTGGAGGCGCACCGGGGTTATCAGCGGCGAAACAGCCGCAACTTTGCCACGCCTTTCTTCTCCCTAACGTGTATTCGGCCCTCAGTGAAAACACGGGGGCTATGGCAGAAAATGCTCTCCTCCAGCAATTTGATGGGAGTGAGCACCTGGAGCTGCTTCCCAATGCTCCACACAGTGTGGTGGGGAGCGCAACCCATCTCCTCAGTAGTATCTGAGGTGCAGCTTGGTGATGTTACAAACCACCAGCAGAGAGGCACTCACGCTGTCCCCTTGTCCTGCTCCCGCAATGGCTGCACTGCCCTCATGTGTTGCTGGCCCTTTGGAGTGCCTCAGGCCTTCCTGGGGCAAACTAGTAAATAACTATGAATAGAAGGCCTTAGTTTTACTCTTTTCCCCCAAAATAGTAAACACAAGTAATTGTATGCTGAAGCATAACCCTTCTTGGGCACTGAAATTCTTATTTAAGCCATCTCCTTCCCTTCAATGAACCTAACATGTATTCAGTTCCTCTAAACCCTAGAAGGAGGTATTTATCTGATGCAACAGGCTGCACGGAAACACTGAAACAGGGCAAAGGTAAATGCAGACTTTGTTTCAACTTAGTTGCAAGGCACCACTGCCCTCCTCTTGGCAGCCAAGAACTTCAGGGTTAAAAAAAACCAAACAAACAAAAAAAGAAAACAAAAGCAAAAACACTTTGCCCCAGACATATCGTAATGCAACAAAAAATGGGTCTTGTGTGAGGATCACATGCTCAAAAACATTTCATTTCTTAATGTTTTATACATCTCTGAAAGCACAGAGGGGAAGCATGTAAAAGCGGCAGTGGGCACATCTGACACAGAAAATCTGGGGCTCTGGTTCTAAGGACAAGTTATAGCCATAATTTCCGGTTGTAATGTCAAGCAAATTCACGATCTCTTTATTTCTTAACTTCTCAGGGAAAAGGAACTTATTTCATTCTTCAGTAGATGACAGGCTTGGATCAAAACCTGGAGTTCTGCATCTCTCAAGTAATAAAAGCCTCACTGCAGGAAAGGAAGACTTGACTCACCCATGTCCAGAGTCCAAGCTTTTTATTAAACTAAAACTTGGTTCTGGTACAGCGGTCAGACATTTTCCTTCCCCAAGCTCTAGATGGCAGCAGATGCGAAGTCACAGGCTTAGGAAGCAGCTGAGTGAGGAGCACTGTAGGCTGCGGATTTCCTCGATGAGCATTCTGCTAAAGCTGAGCTCCTATCTATTCCCCATGATCACGGGAGAAATATATGCAGATAAAACTGTTAGTCCAATCCAAACTATGTCTTTCCTCTAGCCTCACTGTTGACTTCTCAGCCAAAGATACACTTGGGCAAAGCAGTGATTTCTAGGGCCGAACAGTCCATATACCGATTTGTTTGTGCACTCATCCATTTACATTTGCACTACTGTGCAAAATGCATGAGTTTCTTGCATCCTCCCTTGCTTACAGCTGGGAGGAGCGGCTGACATACCAGAATGTTGTGCTACCATTCAACAAGACCTGGACAGACTGGAGAGTTGCACAGAAGATAATGTGATGACGTTTACCAAGAGCAAGCATGGAACTACCTACAGACTACCTCCCTGCTTTAGCAAGGGAGTTGGACATAATGATCTCTTCTGGTCACTTCCAACCCCTGCAATTCTGTGATTCTGTCTCATCTTTGCAACACAGATTCTGGACTCCACTAGACACACTGTCTTGTGTTTGTGAACAGGAATGAGCAGCTGAGTGCACTGATGTACAGTACAAGGGGTTTTGCTACAAGGCACTTGCAGAGAGGGCCGGGTGCTTCTTATCTCAGCAAGCTTGCCAAAGGCCTGCACACACCTTCCACACAACCTGGCACAAACACTGTGTGTGTCTTCTCAAGGAACAGTATACTTGAAGATTTTTTTCCCCATGCAAGATAATGTGTGGGCACAGCTGTATGCATTTTTCTCTGTGCTAAATAACATAAAAGTGAGCAATTACATAAATCCACATAAGTGCACAGAACCCAAGGGCATCCAGGTAACAATTCAGTACAAATGTAGTGAGAATAAACTGATTTTCCCAGGTGGCCTGAAACTTGCAGCAGTCAAAACTTAAGTATCATCTCTGCTTGAGTAATTCTGTACATGCTGCAGGATGAGTTACTAAGGAATGCACTAAATGCATTCTCACACATTTCCACTGAATCTGGCTGAACCAAGTGAGATTGCTAATGCAAATTCTTTTGAGTAAGCAGCTCTGAAGGGAGGATACCATGCAGAATAGATAGATTTGTGTTCATTGGAAGGATATCTGTCTAATGGTTATTCAAAATAAACACAAAGATCCAGAAAACTTGATTCAGCTGGATCAGTTATTCCTAAGACTATCAAAAACAAATGATTTAGCTGTTGCCCTGGTGTAAAACATACTGAGGGATTCAACAGAAGAAACTCTCCAGTAAGCTACACAAGATAAAGAGACTACTGCATAAATGACAATTGGATTTAAAAGGGAGTGCCTGAGGGGTAAATACTGGGGTTGAATAGGAGATTGATAAGATGATAGAGAAATTATTATGAGAGGTTCAGGAGAAAGACCAGAGGCAAGGAAGTAAGAAATAAAGTTATGACTCAGGGGTTTAAGGAGCAACCGCCACCTGTATGCACCTAAGAGAGAAAGGATTTCCAAGGTCCTACAGTTCCTTACTTTCAGTTACTCTTAACTATCACAGACCTCTAAAAGTCTTCTCAACTCCTGGTGGATAGGACCAGAGAGCACTTGCAGGATCTACTGCAAATTAGTAAACAGTACTAAGCATTTGCAGTGCCTGTGCAGATCTTCACAAATACCTCTGGACTTGAAAGGAGACCAAATATTCCTAGAAATCCAACACCACCAGTCTTAGACTTCGGGTTTAATTTGAGTCGCTTTTAGATGTATAAGGCTGGCTAAACTGTGTCCGGACAGACAGAGAATGGGTAGAAACAGGACAATAGCATGTAGGAGTCCCCATTTGTAGGACATGTGCAAAAAGAAGCATCTGTGAATCTCTCCATTATTCTGCTAAAGAACATTTGTTCTGTGACTAATCCATCTGAATATTTACTCATTGGAGCATCCTGGAAAGCAAATGCAGTAGGAGATGCAAGGAAAATAGGAGTCAAGAAAAATCAAGCAGAACACTAATAGTAGTAACTGCCAATCAAGTTACAAGAATACACACTTCTCTTTTTCTTACTGCACAGCATCACAGGGTTAAACCTCTATATTATGTTACTTACGTTACACTAAAGATCAGGCTACAAAAGCTTAGATACAGTGCCCCAAGAAACCAATTATCATTGAAATCAGCACAGACATATGTGAACGAATGTCAGGAAGCTCTGAATTGGGCCCATGCACATATAACATGGCAAAGTTACTCAGAAATTGCATGCAACACCCAAATGTTGTGGTAAGAATTGCTGCTATCCTATGGGTCGTTTTATCATCTGAGAAAGTTAGAGATAAAACTGAGGTGGTTGTTATGGGGACAGTCTGACAAAGAAAAGAGAGTACATGAAGAAGAGAACATCCAATGATGAAAAACTTGTTCTTGTATCAAATAAACACTCCGGACACCAGACAGAGGAGTGAGGGCTTTCACATGCAGCCCTGAAAACACACAGATATATTTGGGCTTTTAATGTTATTGCCCCAGAAGCAGAAACTCTGGGAGAAGAAACTGGATCTGAGGGTAGAGTGAGGCTGTAGCAGGTATAACATACAAGTCTTTGGATTCAATACAAACAGGTCAGCAAAAGCGTATTATTTTAGACTTAATTATGATCAATGGCCCACTGTTACTTTGAGTCTTTTTAAAACAAAGGCTCCTTCTTTTCTCCCTGCAGGACTCCAAAAAGGAAAAATCTAATCTAAGCAAAGCAAAACAAAATGGAGACATAATAAGAGAAAGGGAACAGAACAGTATTGTACTTCAGTAGTTCCTGATGATCCAAAACATGAATGTTTCACTTCAGTGCAGAACCTCCCCGTGCAATCCTGTTCTGCTCTTGAATTCATGTTTTGCTACTTCCTTGTGTTTGTTTTGTTGTGTTTTGGTGGATTTTTTTTTTGTGTAAATTCTTCAGAGTAGAACAGGGATAAGAGAACAATCAGTGATTTATCCAAGCACACACAGCAGCACAATTATTGTGAAATACAGCTCTTCTGTAGTTCGATGCTGCAACTACCCACACCCTTTCCTCTACTTTCCAAGTGCTGTGTTTTCTACTAACCTTTCATCTAAAGCGGTGTCTAAAAGCTGAAGGAACTGTGTAAAATGCCTATCAACTGCAGCTATCTGTGGTTAGCAACCAGGTACTAGCAACTAATCCTAACAAATCCTCTGTATTTCAATGCAGTGAAGTTGATCCAAATTTCGTTGACAATACTTGATGTGAGGGTCAATCTTCTGGCCTTTGATGAAAGCTATCTGTCTCTTAACCGTGCTTAGAACAGTTGTGACTGACATAATGTTTAAATCCACAGGCGTACATCTCTAAAGCCTACCCAGGCTGTTAAAACAGTATTCACAACAGTGGAATATAGATGTATTAATTGTTAACATCCATCTCCACTCACATGTGACGTTTTCAAGAGACAGCCTTCTTCGCATTTTAGGACAGTGGAGAATGAGACAGGAACATGAACATCACATTTATTCTTTCTAGAAATCTAATTTCCTTAGATGTTAACACAGAATCAGATCTTTCCATCTGAGCCGAGCTGAAGAACCATGGTAACCACCCAGAGCCATGCTGCTTTCAGTGGGCTCTGATGCCTGTCACCACAGCATAAATCAGAGCCATAATATGGTATTCCCAAAGCTGGCATATTATGTCCTCTGTATGCATGTACTGTCCAATGCAAGCATAAAAAGTGTCCCAAAATTCAGCCTGAGGGAGTGGAAATATTCTAAAGCAGAAGCATCTTAGTGATGTTATCTATTACCTCCAAAAAACAAACCGAAGAAAATAAACAAGCAAACAACGAAAGAAAAAATAAATAAATAAATAAATAAATAAATAAATAAATAAATAAATAAATAAGTAAGTAAGTAAGTAAGTAAGTAAATGAGTAAATAAATAAGTAAATAAATAAAAGGAAAAAGAAAAAATCAAACATTCAGAACATAGATGAAAAGTCAACCAAACTTAAGTTATATACCCCTTTAGAAAAAAGACTAGAAACTTTCAGATGCACCTTAGCACCAATCTGCTGGAGCTCGTGTGCTGCTATGGCCCCGCTGGAGCTTCATCAGCAACCCTCAAGCAGCAGCTGGCAGTCACCAGAAAAAGCAATTGCTTTAACTTTTGAGTCACAATGGCACAGAACTGAGTGTAACAGAACACATTTCAGGCTTTAGTTTGATTTTGGCATGATTTCCAGCAGCTGGTTTGTTGGGAATAGAAATACTGGCTCCATTATCACACATCCGTAGAGGAAAAAGGATCTTTATAGAGCAACCTATTAGTAATTGGAAAACTATTAGTGAAGTGCTCTAATTTTTGTGCATACAAATACTTAGGAGCAATTATGCTTATTCCTTTTTTGGTTTACAACTTACTTTTCCTTTACACTCCCTGAAGGCCAACTCTAGCATTACTTAGTCTTGCAAGAGAGTGCTGCTGGACAAGTGTAGGACTCTGACTGGCTTTTTTTCCCTACAGCCTCCATGCTGAGTAACTCATAGCTATGTAGGTGCCCTAAGCAAAGACTGACTTGGACTAGTCTTTGGTCATTGCCTGCTCACTG